AACAATTAACAAATGGGACCTCCTGAAACTGAAAAGCTTCTGTAAAGGAAAGGACACAGTCAACAAGGCAAAACGACTGCCTACAGAATGGGGAAAAAATCTTCACTAACCGCATATCAGACAGAGGTCTGATTTCCAAAATATACAAAGAACTCAAGAAAATGGTCACCAAAAGAACAAATAATCCAATAAAAATGGTATTTAAGAATTTTTCAATGCATGAAAAACAGTCATTATACCACATTATCTTAAAATATATAAAAGACCACATAAACATATCCATAGAAGTAGAAGAGACATTTGATGTAAGTTAGCATCTTATCAAGCTTTACGAAAACCACTGTGTAGCACAAGTTCTAATTGGTCTTAATAATAAAAACTACAAGTTAAATATTGGAGTAAATGCTGAAAGATCTGAGAAGCAAAGGAGACAGCCACTAGAGAGACCTCTACTTAATCCTCAGAGCAAAGTGTGCAAGATCCTGTCTCCACAAATCCTTAGATTGAATGCCTTGAGCTCCTGTCTCCTCCCACCTTATACCCCTCTCTCCTCCAAAGCCATATCCCTTCCTGTCTCCACCTTCCTAGTGCTGGGATTAAAGGTGTATGACTCCCAAGTGTTGGGATTAAAGGTGTGAGCCACCACTGCCTGGCTTCTATTGTTAACTAGCATGGCTAGTTACACACAATAATTTTCAGGCAAGCTTTATTTGTTAAAACACAAACAAAATATCACCACATCTCTCAGTAATAAAGGCCATATATGAACCTCTCCATTGTAAAGGCAATATATGAAAAAGCATAGCTAACATCAGACTCAACAGTGAAGAGTTGAAAACTTTTCCTTTAAGATTGAGAACAAAACAAATATACTCACTCTCACCATTGCAACTAAGATAATCCTAGAATCCCTCACCATAGCAGATACATAGATGTGAGAGATACAGATAGGAAAGAAAAAAGCAAATGTCTGCATATGACATTAGCACACATATAAAACCCTAAGGACTGTGCTTAACCATACATAGAAATATACCTCATCTCTAGAATTAATAAATGTATTTTTAAGTTGCAATGTATAAAATCAAATAGAAAAAGATCAGGCATGTTTCTCTATATAACATGAAACTAAAGGAATTAAAATAATCATAAGAGAAAAGGAAGAAATAAGGTAGGAATAAGTGTAAGCAGAGTTGAAAGACCTATACAGAGAAACATATGAACATCCCACTTTTCCTAGAATACTATCCTACCAAACTTGTTTGGAAGCCAGTTGTGGCTTTCTCATGGTTCAGACTGGACCAATTTAGCCATCCGATTATAATATTCTACATATATTATATTACTCCACTATCAGATATAAAGTTCTCTTTGTCCTCCATGACCCATTTTACCCTCATTGCTCAGCTCTAATTATCAACATTACCTCCTATAGAACTTGGCTCAATCAAGGGGCCTCATTAAAGACAATTGGACACGGACTACAGCAATCCCATCAACCAGCAGCAAACAGTCTCATCTCTGATCTTTCTGAGTAACCTGTTTATTTTATTCTCATTCTTTATATGTTAGCAAGTGCAGTTTAAATAATAATAGTCTATGCCTCATTTGGTTAACATTAAAAGAACTTCACATTTTCCCTCTTGGGACATGAAACATTTTCTTGCTACTAAATAAAATATAAAGGCTATTAAAGAATAAAAAGATATGTAGTCCTTGGCTACAAACACACATTTCATCCTGTCACCGGCCTCTGTAGTTGAAGTTCAAAATCAGTAATTTCAATTTGAAACTGTTTCTTACTGCTTCCAAAGCCAAGAGTATACATGACTAACAAAAAAAGCTTCAATGTTTTGTAAATAAATTCAATGCCAAATAATTCATGTTTCTACCACCTTCATTTTTTATTTAAAAATAATCAAGACACACACACATGTAAACTTGAGACCCCTTAAAAAGCTCATTTGGATATCATGCAATAAGGTTTCCTGTAAAAGAAATGAATAGAAGCTAAGGGAAGAATATGTGGAAGTTTATAAAACATGTGTCAAAATCACCTTTACCCTAACAGTTGAGATGATTTAAATCCACCTCACACCTTATACCTGTCTCTCTGCTTTAATCTCTACATTGATTTTTTACCAAATAGCCTCAAGACTTGAGATAATAAAATCACACCACAGGAAACACAAATCATCCTCCTTGCTTGCTGTCTGGTAGCTGCTTTAGATTTATCTTTACTTACAATAATTGAAAAAAAAAGATTAAGTCATAGTATACAATCAATGGTTTTCCTCTTCCATCAATTATAATTTTTGCTAACAGATATAAAATCCAGTTGTTATTCTTTTAATATGTCAATTAAATGTCAAAAACTATTTTGCATCTGTTCAAGCCTTGTGGACACTAACAATTCCTGCTATTACACTGTCACCTCCATCTGATGGCAGGTTTTTTTTTTACATTGTTTATACTTTATCTCCAGAGAAATAGTTTTGTGAAAAATATTCAACATAGAAAGAAAAGACATTTTCACTAATTTGTAAAAGTTAAACAACATGTCCTAAAACCTGTTCCCTTTGCTTATTCTATGACCTAAGGCGTTTATAAACATATTCCCGGGATTTACTACATAAGACTTTATTTCATACATTTTTGAAAGTGGCTCTGTGAAATTTCTGTATAGGATATGTACTTGCCCTTTTCATTGTTTTAAACAAAAAAAAAAATAACATCCATTCTTACTCTTTGTTTGGTCCCCAATCCAAAATAACTTCCGTGATGCAAGAGATTTTTTTGGTAAGAAGCATTTCCTGTCTGTGCCTACAGGAATACTCAACAGGAAAGACAAAGCATTCTGTTAATATTTCTCCCCCACCCCCACACACCAAATATTCCTTCAACCAGCCATTCTTTGATATTGTTTTCAGTCCAATGTTTCTCTGTCCCTCAGCTCATGAAAATCTGCTGTTCTCCAATAGCTGCTGTCCTCTCTACACAGAGGCTGCTGTTACACTGAATCTTCCCTAATTTAGTCCAATGCAGAAAGAAAGACCAGTTTCCAATGTGAGCAGAAACTGTGAGGGCAGCCGCAGGTTGAAAGAATTGCCTATAAATATTTAGGCACTGCCAAGGCAAGCAAACTCACTGAAATTAAAGAAGAAGGTAATAAGGGAGGGAGGGGGAAAGAGGGGAGGGAGGAAGGAAGGAATTGAGGGGAGGAAGGAGGAGGAGGGAGGGGGAGAAGGGAAGGGAACAGAAGGGGAGGGGAGGGAACGGAAGGGAAGTTCTGATAGGTAGGGAAGGTTAGTAGGTGAGAAGCCAGGGTAGATCTGAGGAAGGAGGAAAGGAAGAGACAGTGGAAGAATGGAAGCAAGATGAGAGAAGGAAAACAAAAAGCAGTTGAGAAGGAAAGGATGAATGGAGAGAGGAGGGGAAGGGGGCAGAAAGAAGAAAAGGAAGGAAGCAGGAGATAGAAGAAAGGAGGGAAGAAAGAAAGAAGTGCATAGAGGCAGAAAAGAAAGGAAGGTGGACTTGAAAAATAAAGAGAGGGATAATAAATTTTTTACCGGTAAAATAATACTTTGCTCTTGGGCAGTGAGAGAGTTTCCCAGAGGCAGAAACGGAAAAGCCTGACTCCCTACTCCAGTAGTACAGACCTGTACAAACGCCTTAGCATTGGCCTTTGTATTTTCACTTCTATAGACCGAGAAAACTTCTTTCTTGCTCTCATAAGAAGAGATGCGACTTTTGATTACCCTGATGTTTACAACATTTTAAACTTCATTATGACAGAGGAGACAAATTCTGAATACAAAAAGAAGTACAGCCTCAGAGAACTGTCCACAGTGCCTGAAGGTCATCTTTGTAAACCTCAAGGTCAGTTTTCTGTGACACACTGTCAAGAATCTGAGAGCACAGTCCTCTCAAAACTTAGAAACTATTGCTACAGCATTCTATTACTTCTGAGGATCATGATATCCAGGCATCTCTCTCAAATCCACAGTGAGAAGTGAGACAATGAAGATACAGGCTGATAATGTCCTCTGCATGTGTGCGTGTGAGTCTGTGTGTTTGTGAGTGTTTGCACACATGTGTGTTCATAAATGTAGCAAGTGTGAAAACAAAATAATGGAATGTTTGGCTTGGGAAATGACTCAGCAAACAAAGTGCCTGTCACAGAAGCAAGAGGATTCCCAGACCCACAAAACCACTGGGTATGATAGAGTGTGACTATTACCCCAGCATGAGTTGAAATAGAGACTGATATATTCTGGGGCAGGCCACACACTCAGTGCAGAAAAAGCTGAGTTCTGAGTTCATTGACAGTGAAAGAACCCGTCTTGAAACAATGAAAGAAAGAGAGAAAGAAAGAAAGAAAGAAAGAAAGAAAGAAAGAAAGAAAGAAAGAAAGAAAGAAAGAAAGAAAGGATGGAAGGAAGGAAGAAAGGAAGGAAGAATGAATGGAAGAAAGGAAAATAAATGGTAGAGAGCAATGGAGAAAGTCCAGATTTCAATTATTCACCTTTGCATTTGTATACACAGGTGTGTGTGTGCCTGCGCACACGTGCGCACACACACACACAAATTCTGTAAAAAAATGTAAAATGAAACATTTCTATTCATAAGTCTATGATAGAAGAGTTAACCAGATAAATACCAAATCCTACAATTTAGTAATGTTCAACATACTTAATTAAACCAATAAAAATATTTATTAAAACATACATATGCACATGAGTCTTAGGTAAAATATTTTTGGACTATGAAGAAAAATAAATCATATTGACGTTCTTTCCAAAGAGACATATAGAAACCTACTTTTCTAGAAGCTTCATATTTAAACATTAAAAATATTGACATACAACAGACTCCCATTAAAGAAACACGTGTACTACAAATTAAAGGAGAGGAGACCAATTCACAGTGCGCTTTTTGTTTTGTTTGTTGCCAGTTTTTTTTGCCTACTTTTGACACTTGGAACATCTCTTGTCACTCACCATCAGTTATGATCAGCCTTATGACATAGGTTTTCTGTTCTCCTGTGCTGTCCTCAGAACGGCATCTGTAAAGTCCAGAGTCAGCAGACGTGGCATTGGGGATGGTGAGGACACTCTGTGTGCTCCCCTGGCTGCAGTTGCTCCATGTTTTTCTTAGGTACTTTGATGTGTAAGTTGTCCTTTGAGATAGGTTACAGGAAGCTAAGACATCTACCTGATGGGGCTGGACTTTTTCCCACATTACTTGTTGTACTGGCCAGTTATTTGGAAGCTGGCAACTGAGTGTGACATTTTGTCCAGGTTCTGCACACAGGTAGCCATTTGAGGGTGCAGTTATCTCAAAACTATCTGAAAAAAAGAAGCAGAGCTTTAAGCAGGTGGTTAGATATTCACACAGAGAAGGGAAAGCTACCCAGGAACTCACACTGAGCTGATTGGATTGGTAAATTACCTAATGCAGTTGCTTCAAGATTAAACAATAGCCATGCTTTGCATTTTTGTAAGAGAATGGATTTTTCAACAAGGTTTTATAGACAGAAATGGTATACAATGCTTGACATATGTCTTTCTAATGTTACTTGGTTGATCAGATAATGAGAAATATAACTGAAAACCTTGGTACTCTCGTAGCAGTGATCATATCAGGGTCTGAATTCACAAAACTAAACCAGTGACACCAATTTCCAGATTATAATATGAGACAATAGACTAAGATTTTAATGGCCAAGAAAAGATACTACATCATTTTTCATTAACTACATTTGGTTATACAGGAATATCTAGTCCGTGTATGGAGACTTAAATTAGTATAAATTTCTGGTGCCAAAAATACTCTCTCGAATTCCTACCCTTCATCTCACCATTTCTGGAGTTTACAGCACAAGAAAGCGCCATCAAATACTTCAATAACTGTCTGCTTTAATATTTTCTGGGGACCATTGTATGCCTTTTGGAGTTCTATTAGGTTCAATTTTTCTTCAAAGAAATAGGAAAATCTAATTCTCCACTCCTGTTTTTTCATGAGTACAAAGCATGTGCTGCCAGAGACTCTGCTATTTTGTGCAGTGAGCACCCAAAGATTCTTGTGTTTAAAACTGTATTCAGTGTTAAGCTCTAGCACCATGAACATGACAGATATTAACTCACACGAACAAATGTTCTTCAGGGGTACTCCATCATTTTTGAGACCAGAAAGTTTGTGGACTTAATGAAGATACTACAACTCAAAATTTTTGTTTCTAAGATCAGAATATCTCAGAGCTGTAACAAGTGAAGGAAACTCCAGCTCGATTCATCCAAAGTCTTTACTGCCACAAACCAAGAACGCTTATTTGTTAGCTAAGAAGAGAAGTCTAAACAGCAATAGGTCACAGAATTTATGGGCAGGTGAAATGGAAAAAATAGAAGAGCATCTATTTATCTGTGTCAGCTATGCTCAGAAGTGACAAGGAACAAGTGTTTGGGCTTAAAAAGCAATAATCAATAGTAAAAGGAAGGGAGTGAGCGAAGGCAATGGACAATAAGAAAATAGTGCATTTGAAAGAGAGTACAGATCTAAAGTACCATTTGATTTGCTGTTCATATTAGATTAGGACCTTATATCTACTGACACCAAAAACTAGCAGCAACAAGTGGCTCCTGGTGTGAAAACCCTTGCACATAGAAAAGCCACAATTGTCTAGTATTTCAGTGTGTGGCCTTGCAAATGTTCAGCAAAAGTAACGCTTTGCCCACATAAGAGGTATACAGAAACTGTTTCATCTCTAAGCTACAATCCAACACAAAAGAAGGGGACAAAATGAAAAAGAGAAAAAGTATAAGAAGAAAGTAATAATAAAATCAAAGCTTAGGGGAAGTTCCTAGAAAAACAATGGGAAACAGAAGGGAAATGCCAATTCAGACATTAGCAGTGATTAGTAAAACGGCTCCAAGCAGTTCTGGGCCTTCAGGAGAAGGCAGGTAAAATCCCTGGCTACAGGTGTTGGTGCTTGTCTTCAGGAATCATGTTCACAGCTCCTTGTCTTCAGTCCTTCTGGATGCTTCTCTTTGCAGAAGCTTTCTTTAGTCTGTTCCCCCCCCCCTACCCTGTTCTCAGGAGAAGCTCCATATACTTGTCAATTAATGCAAAAACTGATACGTTCTGCTTAGGTAAATTACCTGAATTTATATGAAGGACAAATCCATGAAGCACTGGAGAAAATCTCTACCCATAAACAGCCAGACCTAAGGGATGGAGGTAGCTTTAAGGGCAGACAGATTCCAGTTCAGGCTCCACATAAGGACCCAGACCCACCTCCTTGTAGACTCAAACAACAGCAAAATATCAGGATAGCTGGTTAGAAGCATCGAGAAGCTTCCCCTGTGCCCCACCCCACCCCACCCCAGTCCAATATCATGCTAAGAGAGTTGACTTTTTGGTCTGAAATGAAAATCAAATTCTACACAGAGGTTGCTTGTGACTGCTGTGCTCATCCAAGTGGAAGACTGTCCAACGTGAGACTAAAAATAACAATCAAGATCTGACATAAAGAAGGCACACCATCCTGACAGATGGCAAACTTAAAGGTGACTCCATTTAAACCAGAGACAAAACTGCCATAGGGAGAAAAGGTCTGATTTTAATTGAATGCCATAATAAATTTTAATTGATTCCCAAAATGAAAAATAAAATAGAAACTCATTGATTCCATACTTACAACCCAGCCATGTACTAGTTTCTAAAATGAAAATAAAATACTGTTGTCTAATTTTTATTGGTATATTCAACTTTACAAGTGACTTTTCTGTCATGATTATAGATTATTAATTAAAAAATTACTTCTGTGCTTTATCTACTTTTTGAAGTACTGCTCCACCTCTGTAGAACCAATCACTGCTGGGTCTACTTATACTTTTTCTTGTTTCAAATCCCTAGTTACTGACTATCATAATCAGTATCCCACAGGCCTATCACCCAGTCTGCAGTTTGGAAAGCTCTTCACATCATCCAAGGATGTATAACAGTTTCTTCCAGAATTGTATCACTCCCTGCTGGAGGGAAGGGGAGCCACAGGAGGTAAAGCAAGTGTTGCATGTCTGGGAAAGCTCAAACTTGCAAAATTCTGGATAAACCTGCCTGGGGTTGTCAAGGCAGCAAGCAACCTAGAGCAGTAGAAAGCTCCAGGGTTAGTGCTTCTATGAGTTGTCACCGGTTTGGGGGTGTTTGGTTGTTCTTTGGGGATGATGTAGCTTCCTTTGAGTCATTCTTGCTCCTGTAAATGAACCCTTATCCATAATTCTGTTAGTTGTCTCAATAAAATTTATTGGTTCACCAAATTTGGTCCATCATCATGAGATTAATTTCTGGGATAAGTAGATATGTATTATATCATGTCTTCCAGGAAAGGATTATTAAATGGCCCCATGAATATCACAGAGACGTGGGTCTCTTTATACCAACTTCACAAGTCAAGCCTTTGTGCAAGCCAACTAACAAGTTACACCACTCTATTTTGAGCCACAAAAGCCACCCTTGCAAGAAATTAAAGAGGGAAATCAAAATTAGTTTTTAAATAGAAAATCAATTTGCACTCCACATTGTAATCAATACAACATGCCTTTTGATTGCCTTGGGTGGCACTGACATCTGCAATAATCCTCATATTAAGAAATATATTTAAAATAACATTTTAGTGCCAAAATAAAATAGGAGTTCTATACAAAAGTAAGATAAAACTGAAGAGTCATGAAAAGATATTCATGTTTCCTAAAAAATAGTAGTCTTGCCAAAACAACCAAGTTCCACTCTAACCATGCTTTTAAATTTACTAAGCTAAATTAAATTAAGTAATTTAAATTTACAAAGCTAAAGAGTTGAGAAGTGTATTATATGACACCTTGAGAAGGCAGAACATTGGACTGCACAAAACTCAAACTTATGGAAAAAATAACAAAGAAAAGAGGAACTTACAAGTTCGAAAAGACTAAATAGCTCTAATGCATGAAGTTGAAAAGCAGATTAATGATACAGCTTGAGAATATAAAATAGATAAAATCTAATGAAAAAAGGAGTACGAGAAATATAAAACAGTAATATTAAGGCCAAGATTGATAGTTGGGCAAGCTATAAAAACCTCACATAGGAATTTATCTTATAGCTATTGCTGAAATGACTAAGGTAACACTCTTCTCTTCTGATTCCATTTTGTGTTTGCTTAGAAAGTTCTCAACTCTCTAGCCCCTCTTCCACAACAGTCACTTCTACCCTGGAAGACAGTTGAGATTTGCATGGTCTTGACCATGGTCCAGACATACTAACCCAAATAATTAAAGTAAACTAAAGTAATTTAAAAAAGTATAAATAAAAAATAATTGGCATGCCGGGCGGTAGTGGCGCACACCTTTAATCCTAGCACTCGGGAGGCAGAGGCAGGTGGATCTCTGTGAGTTCGAGGCCAGCCTGGTCTAGAAGAGCTAGTTCCAGGATAGGAACCAAAAAGCTACAGAGAAACCCTGTCTCGAAAATCAAAAAAAAATTAATAATAATAATAATTGGCATGTTGTATCTAAAATAATTACTATGCTCTTCCAGGAATGAACATTTCAAGGTTACTCTGATCCTCAACTAACTTTGGTGTAAAGTATGTATGATCTTTGTAAATTTTGTCCTTAAAAACTCTATCTCCCTGAGCTTGGATGCCAAAGGATTTTTCAGAGGCACAAGCCTGCTCTAGGTCTGGCCACTAATAAAAGAGACTAAAACTTCTAATTGGTATACTCAGCATGGTTGTCAATAACTATCTCACATGGATCATTTAATTTCTAATGAAATTTTCTTAATTAAAGAACTAAAACTATTTGTTGAATAAAGTTTGGGAAGCCAGACAAATGAACTAACTGGAAGCATTTGGTTTGTAAAGACCCTTCACACTCTTGGGCTCTCATTTTTGCTGTAACTGTTAATCAGGTAATAAAATTACCAGATTGTTTCACAAATAGAGGCATCTTAACTTCCCAAAACACTATGCTTGTAGGTGACAGAATGCAAATTTAACAAAATTAATTTTATTCTTGAGCCCTTGCATTTTTCATGCAATAATATTCCCACTTCTAAGTCTCCTTCTTTTCCACATCTGTTTCTAACCAGATACCTTTCACTCATCCCTGGGTGGAATATCTCCCCTCCGAGAGCCACCTCAGACCTTGAGATATATTACCCATGTTCAATTATTCTTTACTCTTCCTTAGTCATTCAAATTTGTGGAAGGTGTGGGTTTCCCCTGCATTCTTATTTTTCATGAGTATTTCATGCACTTAGCCTCCATTTCTAATATTCCACCAAATACTCCAACTGTTACCTGTGGCCTTGA